TATATATATATATATCGGGGTAGAAGTCTAGTGTAGTGTATAAGTGTATAAGTAAAAATGTAGTAGGGCTTTTTACTACATAAAAACAATATATATTTAACATGTAGATGTAAGGGTGTAGGTGTAGGTATACCGCTCGCTCGGTCACCGAGAACAAGGCTGCTATGGAGCGAATAGAGAAAGCTCGGGGTTAGGGTAGGACACACACCACCACCGCGGCTGCTACTGCTGCCACCGATCGATGTACCTCTTCGTCCTCTTCCCATCGTTTACTATCCTCCAATTTTATTCTTTTTCACTCTTCTGTATTTTCTTATATCCGACCTGTTTTCATTTTAAACAAAATAGTAACAATAAAATGATTATGAAAGAAAAAAATAAATAAAAAACCAAAGAAAGGAATAATTATTATTTTTGTAACTTTTAATTATCATTCATATCATCTCTTAATTAATTTTAAATATACAATGAGATAATAATTGTATTTAATGTAATATTTGTTTTAATTTATCTTATATTTGTTTATTTACTTAATTATTATTTTTTCAGTTTTTTAGATAAGGTTGCCATTGTAAAAAAACCAGACTACTCACCAACTGAACAGGTACATTTATTTCTATTTATTCTTTTATTATTTTCTTTTGTGTTTGTTCTTTACTCATTTAATTAACTATTGCTCTTATTTTTTTTAAAGGATATCTTAAGATGTCGTGTTCTTACTTCGGGTATATTTGAAACACGGTTTCAAGTCGACAAAGTAAACTTCCAGTAAGTTTATTTTATATGCTGATTATATATTTTAATTAGATTTTTGTTCAATAAGAAAATATTTTCTTTTTTTTTTTTTAGTATGTTTGACGTCGGTGGGCAACGAGATGAAAGGAGAAAATGGATCCAGTGTTTCAATGATGTAACAGCAATAATATTCGTTACTGCTTGCAGTAGTTATAACATGGTACTCAGGGAAGACCCGACAAAATTGAGATTAAGAGAAAGTCTTGATTTATTTAAAAGTATTTGGAATAATCGGTAATTTATTTTTAACTTTATTCATTACTAAATTATAAAAATTAATAATTGCAATTATTTAATGATCTTTTTTTTTTAATTTTAATTTTTTATAGATGGCTTCGAACGATATCAGTAATATTATTCTTAAATAAACAAGATTTGTTAGCTGAAAAAGTGAAAGCTGGCAAACACAAATTGGAGGATTATTTTCCGGAATTTTGCCGTTATCAAACCCCAGTTGAGCCTGGAGTTGTTGCGGAACCAACGGAACCACCTGAAGTGATACGAGCGAAATATTTCATCCGAGATGAATTTCTTGTGAGTAAAATTTAAAAATTTACTTTTTTTTATTTGAAATAAATTTATAATTTGTGGTAATAAAAATTTCAGCGCATCAGCACAGCTAGTGGAGATGGTAAACACTACTGTTACCCTCACTTTACGTGCGCAGTCGACACGGAAAACATCAAGAGAGTATTCAATGACTGTCGTGACATAATTCAACGTATGCATCTGCGTCAATATGAGCTCTTGTGACTTGATTCCTGCCGTTGCTTACTAGTGTCGTCTGCCCAACTTAAATTATTTTCCATACCTGGTCCTCTCTCCATCGCCTCGAATTAAAACAAAATATAATTATTAATTAATTAATGACTAAATAAATAATTATAATAAACAATAATAGCAACATAAAATAAAAGAAAGAATAAAATAAATAACGCCAAATATCTAGGCAACTATTATATTATTAACTCGAGATAAAAGTACCTTCGATTTATTGATACAGAAAAATAAATCAATAAGGAGAGAATAAGAGAAAGAGAGAGAGAGAGAAATAGCGATGGAAAAATAAAAATAATAATAATAATATTTATTATTATTATTATTATGATAGTTAAAATAATTAATTATAATTGCGTACATGTAAAAACAATTAATACACATTGAATGTACGAGCAGTCATGAGTCAATGTCATTCTTGGCATATTTAATTACATCTTGAAATAATAATAATAATAATATTTTAAAATAATTCATCTTGTTTCAGAAGAGAAAGCTTTACCAAATCAAATTAATAATGGAGGGTTAAATTTAAAAAAATAAAAATGAATTAACCAATTCCTCTCCTTGGTCGGCCGGCAGATATTTTATATCAAAATTTATCTCTTCGTTATTTAAAGCTTATTTTACTGTAAGTAGGTAGTTAAATTTAATTGAACGTATACGTTTTATTACATGCAATGTTTGTATTATAGAGGCTCACCGAAAAGCAAAAAAAAAATTATTTATTTTTAATTGTCATACTATCTCAGTTACTTTTTTTTTTTCTTTTAAATCCCACTTAACACACTGTGATTCGTTACCTCGTCGAACAATATTTATAATTTACATGAAGAGAACCACGTGTTTTTAAAGTGGGCAAGTGGAAGTTTTATTGATTGATATTTTATAATTATATACTTGCAAATTAAATTAGTTAAAATAAATTATTTGTGTGAATGTGTTATATTTTAAAGAAAATGATTTATTTTTATTTGTTGATCGATTTCACATCAAAGTTACTGTTATATTAATTTCATTATTTGACATTGTTTTTGTTTTTTGAATAATTATTTGACTCCTTCGAAGTGAATGTAAAATAATATATTGAATTAATAATTATATGATTATTATAAATATGAATCTCCTGTTTCAAAACATGTAACACTGCGTTTCTTATACCATTGAATCTCTGTTAGCGTCTTAAAACAGTCTTCAATAAATTTTTTTTATAATATATACCAAACAAAACGACACATTCACTAAAAAGTCTCGTCTTACTATAATAACTTTTTACAATAAATAAAAAAAATAAAAAAAAAAAAATGAATAAGTATTTTGTGAGATTTTACAGTATTTCAGGGAGTGTTATCATTTTTTTTATAATTGTGTGTATTTTAATTGTAAACAGAGCGATTGTCAATTCAAACTTTTAAATAATTTATTTATTATTTTACAAGTATTTCACTTTTAATTATAAACGACATTTATGTTTTTATATAAATAACTAATTATATTATTTTTTTTGTTTAAAATATAAATTTTGATGCAAACGATTAAGTCACCGGTACTGAGTGTTTGTAAATATGGTTTGGTAAAAAATTAATTAAACTAACAATAAGCCCACCGCCGGTCAGTTAATAAATGTGAGCCCTGAAAATGGTTTCATACATTTTGTCGAGAATTTATTAACTCGAAGAAACTGAATGAATAATGAACTATTAAAGTAAAGACGAATACATTGTAAATTTTATTAAAAAAAAAAAATTTTATCGACTCTTCCAAAAAAATGGAATATATGTGTATGATAAAAAACAAAAATATATATTATAGCGATAATTTTTGTGTATAGAATGGGTATGAATTTGTGTACATGTATAAGAATGGAGGAATGCGTAATTCTTTTCAATATATATAAATGTAATATTTTAAACTGTTCCGCGATATTTTTCATAACAAAAAATAACACTTACGTGCGCGCACGCATGCAATTAAAAATATTAATAACAACAGTTGATAATAACAATAAATTAAAAAAAATGTATTATTACTATTATAATGATAATAATAATAATAATAATATAAAAATAATAATAAAGCGTGATGAACCGGTCGTAAAATTAATTATTGTGTATATGTTGATGCCGGTTATAAGATGGAATGAAAAAAAAAAATAATAATATGCGATGTGAGAAAATTTTTATACGTGGCAAAATGAATTTAATAATTATCATAATTCATGTAAATTAAGTTGTAATAAATTATAAATGTTAGTTATGCATATTTAATTAAGTTTATTCGTATAATATTTAATATTATATTATTATCATTATTATTATTATAAATACCATCCACAAATAATAGATAAATGTAACGAATTATATTAAATAAAATTAAATATATTATTTAATTAAAGACAAATATGTATACGGTGGTATAATGAGCAAGCGAGCGCGCACGAATACGCACATTTATTTTCTCAATAATAAATAAATATAATATTTATTATTATTGTCGTAATTATTAGATGAATGATAACAATTTATCATTTTTTAATAACTTTGGAATTAATATAATATTTTACGCGCAATTTATAAATTTTTTAATCCATTTGCCGCAATACACACGTGCAATAGTCTTTAATGAATATTAAGTGTCATGCCTTGTTTTTTTTTTTTTTTTTCTTTTCATATATATTTACATACTTAGGTACGAAATGCAAGTATTTTATTGAAAATATTTTGCACAAAAATTGTTATTTACTTCGCGAATAATTATTTAAGCATTGTTATTATTCATGATATATAATACAGAGTTTTATATTACATCATTAAACACAATAATGAGCTCTAAACAATAACTCTTGAGCTAAGCCCTTTAAATTGATCATCATAAATAATTTAAATACTAACCATAAATATTTATAAATATAATGCTATTGTCGATGTCACTATCATTAAAGCAAAAAAAATAATAATATTAATGGTACATACATAAATAAAAATGTGTATGGATCTAAAAAAATCTAAGTGAGAAAATAAGAAAGTAAGAATGAACATATAATAACAAAAATACTAATTAGCAGAAAATAATTTTTTATGCCAGTCGCACAACATTTGTTTTTTTATATTTTAAAAATTTATAAGCACACTATTATTTTGCCAAGTATATATAACTGTTACTTATGATTTAATTTTATTGCTAAGATACAATGCGTGATTGCTAAATAATTTTGTTTTTCGCCCGTTCGTAGTTCCAATTGATCTGAACAATAATTATGTAAATATTGAACAAATAAACAGATCTTAAAATTTTTTTTATGTCAATTATTGCAATTGAAAAGTAAGACAATTGGTAATTGTTTAAATTGTTATTGTTATTCATTATTAATAATAATTATTATTTTATGTATGTTAAAAAAGCTTGCGCTTATTTATTTACATCAATAATCTTCCATAGCTTCTTTTATTTATTGAGAAGCATTGTCGAATTATATATTAATCTTGTTATTAAGAATTAATTCACAAATATTATTATCATTATTATTGATATTGTGATTTTTTTTATTCAAAAATCTTTGTAGAAACTGGGTGTGTGTATTATAATTAAAAATGTAAATTAAACTAAAAATATTTGGGTGTTTAAATATACACCCAATTTTCTTATTAATATTTAGTCTTTAAGTCAGTATAAATAATTACTATTTGTAAAATATACTAAAAGTATAATTCATTATTCGCACTTGAATACATTAGAGAAGGTTTTTTTTTTTTTTTTAATTTAATTTAATTTGGATGAAAAAAAAATTTTTTTTAGTCGTGAAATTGATGTCTGAAAGTATGTAATTATTTAATATTGAATGGCACTACGAACGTTTAGATGATAAAAAAAAAACATTAAAGAAAATTATTTAAATAAATTGAAATGGAAGTAAAATAATGATTATAAGTTTAAAAGAATGTTGTACAACATTGAGATCAATTATAAATCACGTTGAAGATGAAGATGTAATTTTATCATATATATCACACAATCAATTACGCAATGTTTGTATTTATATTTAAAAAAAAAAAAAAAAAATATTTATTAAACCAAAAGAGAAAAGATAAATTATTATAAAAAAAAAAAATTAATTAAACCTAGCAGCGTACAAGCGTTACTTGAACCGTAAAAAATTTAAGTCTGTGATTAAAATCAAAAGATTGATGTTTGAATGCAACATACAATTGTGTCCTAATATTATTTATATTAAATATATTAATAATAACAAAAATATTAACGTTAATAATAATAATAATAATAATAATAATAATAATAATAATAATAATAATATT